CTGAAGGAGTGGAGTTGAGGTACTTGTCCACTAATAGTATTCTTTTCTGTATAGTTGAATCATTAATATGGCCATATTTATAATGATATAAATATATTCAAAAGGAGTAATTGTTGCAGCACCAGTGATAGCTGACGTGTTTTGAATGCTTACTATGTACCAGGCACTGATCCAAGTGCTTTACAGCAAGCAGTCTAGTGATACCTGTTTCTGCCTTGTAAATTGGGGCATGATATCAACCTAGTGCATAGGTAGTGGTGTGATTTTTGATTCCCAGTTCACTTTAGAAATCTGAAATATAGACAATTAATGCCTGAATATATAGAATTGAGTAGGTTTTAACTGTATTGCTATTCTGTGACTTTTTAAAAAATCTACTTTTAATACTGGAATCAGTACATTAATACTGTCATATCAAATCTCTTAGAAATAGGGACAAGTCTTTAATAAATATGAAATGAAGTCCAGTAATTACACTTAAAATTAGTTTAATTGCTTTATATTTACTGTGTATAAATGTATGCATTATTTTGTTATTCATACATATTAAAAGGCAAATTTTGTCGTAAACTTTTATTCAAATTCTGCTACCAATTTGTATTATTTGAACTTTGTTTTTCTTCTTATTAAATAAAGGTGTTGGACTAGATAGTCTCTGTAAGGCTCCTTTTAGTATCGAATTCTATGATTCTGAATATTTAAGTTTCATCACGTGAAATAGAAAACTTAAACTTTAATTCAAAGGAGAGTCTCCTTATATTATGCTCTTAAGTGTAGATGAGATAGATGCCAAAGGAAGAAGGTAGAGAATGAGCACCATAACTTTGCACCTACATACTTTTGATAAACATTAGAAACTAATACAGAAATAAGGATCCTTGGAAACTAGAAAAACAGACCAGAAAAGTTTTCAAGAAAAGAATGATCACTAATTATTCAAGTTAGTAATCAATCAATAAAGTTAATACAGTGTAGAAGAAGGAACCCTGGACCTGGAGTTAGAAAGCCATGAGTGCATTTCTGTCCCTAACTCTGCTGCTTATTGGAGTTTTGATAATCAGTAAATTACTTAATTTTCTGAAACTTGCAAAGTGAGAGTAATAACTACCTCGCCTTTCTCAGTGGTTTCATAAGGATCAAGTGATAATGGTGAATTAGAAGTGCCTCTAATAAAATTTTAAAATATTTATGAACCTAAGTTATTGCAAAAATGTGAATGAGGATCCTTTAAGAGGTTGGATTTGGTGATTTGAATAAAACTAATATCAAGGGAAGAAACTTGAAGGCAGATTAAAACAAGTTGAAGCCAAAGTATAAGTATTCAGTAGATAAGTTTGGCATGGTATGAATGGTAAGAGATACATGGACTAGCATAGCATATTCATTCTTTACATTGCTATAGCAAGGTTTTGTATTCATGTTTCTGTTTCTTACTGGATTAGAAGTAGGTAGAGGACAGGAACTGCAGTTCACTCTGTTTCCTCGGTGCCTTGAAAATAGCAATTTCAATAAATAGCTTTGTGAATAAATACTTGCTAAACAGGACATAACTAGTAAAGAAAATTTTTGTGATATGAGTGTGTACATGGATATATGTGTAAGATGGTGAAGACTTAAGCATGTTCATAGGTTGAAGGGAGAGAATGAAAAGAAAGGGGTTGGTTTCATCAAGAAAATATGAAAGGGATAGCATCTGGAACCATAAATAAAAAGTGCTCGTCTTACTAGTTAGTAAGAGACTTCCCTGAAAAAAGCACCAGACCCAGGAGGAGGTTATACTGTTGAATTCCTTAAAACATCAAGCACCAGATAACTATATTAGAACAGAGAAGGCAAAAAGGTAAGCTTCCCAGTTCTTTTTACAAAGACAGCACATAACATCCTATATAATAAAAGGCTAATATGCAAATCGACCAAACGGCAGAACAACAGGTCACAATGATGTGCACTGGCCACCAGGAGGCAGACACACAACACAGGAGCTGACCCCTGGTGGTAAGAGCGCTCCCACAGGGGGAGTACCACTCAGCCAGAAGTCGGATACACAGCTAGTGAGCGCAGCAGCGGTGGTGGGAGCCTCTCCTGCCTCCGTGGCAGCACTAAGGGTATCCGACTGACAGCTTAGGCCCGCTCCCCACGTGGGCTCCCGGACTGTGAGAGGGCACAGGCCGGGCTGAGGATCCTCCCCGCCCCCCAGTGCATGATTTTCGTGCACCAGGCCTCTAGTGATAAAATATGAGCCCAAAAGGCTATACACCAATCTCACAAAAGTTGTTGCAAAAAAATGCTTAATAAAACTATCAAATGGAATTTAGCATTACATTAGCAGAATAATACTGTAATGGGATTCACCCTAGGAATATAAGAATAAATCAAATTAAATTATATTATTAGGTGAGGGTGGGGGCAATGACTAAGGAACCAAAAAGGGAGAAATAAATGTTTACTTCTGATAGGAATCCTTAGTGAAACAAGAATAAATTAATGTACTTAAGATTTTATATATCTCAGACCAGAAGTCAGCATTTTTTATGGTAAAAAACTAGAATTCCTATTTTATTATTTAGTGAAATACAAAATTCCTTTTAAAAAGCCATGAATCAAAAAAGGTGTGGCCAGCATTAGTATTACGTAACATTGTCTTGGGAATGCTGGCCAATGTAATTAGACAAAAAAAAAACAAAATAGGTGTAATTATTTGAAAAGAAGGAGGCAAATTCTTTATTTATAAGTGACATTATATGTGTGGGAAAGCCAAAAGAATCAACTGAAATATTACTATAATGAGATTTCAGTATGAAACCTAGTTAATCTAAAGTGGGGGGTTTTTTGTGTGTTTCTTTTTGTTGTTGCTTTTATGACCTTTAAACTGAAAATCTATCCATATAGGTTAATGGGGATTCTCATTCTTAAAATACTTTTTTTTTTTTTTGGCCTTCTGGGGAATGCACAGACTTATTTAATCTTATCTCTAAGTAAATTGCAGTCTATTTTGAATAAGACACTTTTCAGGTTAACTTCTACAAACTAGTTTGAGCCCAGCTAGCGGTCAGGGCACAGGCCTGGGTTGCAGCTCGATCCCCAGTGTGGGATGTGCAAGAGGCAGCCAATCAATGATTCTCTCTCAACATTGATGTTTCTCTCTCTCCCTCTTCCTTCCTCTCTGAAATCAATAAAAATATATAAAGGAAAACTATTTTGAAATAAAGTTGCAGCAGTAAATACATTTAGAAGGACTTTAAAGTTGTTTTTTTTTTATTCCTGTGGCTATGATACTTGCTTTATTGCTTAGTAATGCCAGGAAAGGTGTAATCTGATCTTTGAGCCATATTTGGTAAATAATAATTTTGTGTGGAAACCACTGTTCTGTCAGTAAGAGGAAAATTACTGTACAAATGTAAGGGTTTTCTTTGCCCTTAAGGCATTTTCTTACTTAAAGACTTAAGTTATATCATGTATTGATTCTTTTGTTTTTTAAAAAGCACTGTGTAACCTTAAAAAGGGTATTGACAAAAGTATTTTCTACTTTACTTGGAGAAGAATTGCATGTCTTTTTGTTTGCCACTAATTCTCTTTATATCCTAGATGTAAATTCTTATATTTTTATTCATCATTAACTCTCAGAATTGAACTCTCACACACATTTACCTTGTAGTTCTGCAAGAAATGATGAAAAATGAGTTATATCTCTTAGGATGTGATGCAGATGACTTATTTAAAACTAAAGCTGGTTACACAGCTGTTGCTTTAGAATTTATGAAAATGAACACTTAAGTATATCCATGTTTAGAACAAAAAATGTATTGAATACCTAATATATACCAAGTTTTTAGGTGCTTTATAGACTTTAGCGAATTCTCATGGCAATCCAGTGAGGTGGGCAGTGGTGTCCCATTTCATAGAAAGGACTCTTCTGCAGAGTTTTTGTCCAAGGCTAGATCTATCCCTCCCAGGCTTTTTTTTTTTTTTTAACCAACAACATACCATCACAGTGATGGAAAGTTTGCATTTTTCTTAAAAACTACTTTTACTCTATTTTGCTTTGTTGTATTGCTAGTTACCAAGAATGCAAAAAGTTATTTGAATCCTTGTCTTCACTTTTTTTTTTTTTTTTTGGTCCTGTTACAGTTCTCACCAGCAGCCATCATTTGGCAGCAGCAGAGAATTCAATTTATTTTGACTGCTGTGGGATTGGTTTCTTGGAAAAACTCCTTAGGGTGCTAGCCTGCCAAGTATAAGGACATTGTTTGCAGGCCTTAGTGATCTAATTAGTACACCAATCTACCACTTTTAATATCCTACCATTTCTGTAACCTTTGTAGTTGTATGGTTGTTGTTTTTTAATATGGACCTAACAAAAACTTTTTAAAATAATTGAATCTAATTTGGTTATAGAAAAAAGAATTTCCAACGTGATGCAGAGTCACTATAAGCTATTCTTTGCCTCCCTCTTGAAGAATTACCAAGTTTGTTTGTTATTTTTTATTAGAACTTGAAATTAAATTTACTGCTTGGATGTATCTAAAGCATTTTTTAAAGAAACCTCTGAGAATTGATTTTAGGAAATTAGGGGAACAGTTAGAAGACCATTGTAAATAAGATAGCAAGCAAAAGAGAAAAACAAAATGACCTGAAAATGAGGACTTTGGAAAGTTTTACCATTGAAATTGGGTTTATTGTTTTTCTCTTTCTGTTATGCTCTGTGGTCTGATGTTGGACAGTCTATTGCTAAAAGCCACTAGAGATTTCATAAAAGCTACTATTTCAATTTCTAGAATCGGGAGTCCAGAATAGAATTGGGTAGCTAAAGATAATGACAGCTAATGTAAATAGCATCTTCTGATAACTTGTAATTTAAGAGACCCTCTTTCCACTTTGAAATATTTTATGTGAGAGACATTGGAAACTACCTCACTGCTGTTAGATCTCATAATGTTATCTGGTCACGTTTCTTGTTCTGCCTACCTCTAGTTTACTCTAGTTTCTCTTCTGCTTTCAAGGCTCCAGACCCCGTTCCTGGACCTGCCCTGGAAAAGAAGTATCCAGTAGAGATGAGCTCACTGCAGTTACTTAATTAAAAATTTGTAAGCTGCAAAAATGGCAGTGAGCCAACCAAGAACAGCTACAATTTGAATTTTTCTATTTCCAGGTATGCTAAAGTCAATGGCACCAGTCAAGCTTAGCCTATGTAACTGCCTTACGATGAAATCTATAATAACCAAAACTTTACTTTCAAAATTTGTGGTCATCTTGCTTTAAAATATAGTAGCCTCCCTAACATCTAGGTAACTTGCAGCTAGTATTGACCTTAACATACCTTTTGCCTGAATATTCCTAATTGAACTGTTTGCTAGTGGTAGCAAACTAATCCAGAAATAATTTAAGAAAAATAAATTTGAAATACTATTGAGTTAAGCCCTGTAAATGTACAGAAAGTAATCTGGTCTTCATTAAAGAGTAAACATTAACCATAACAGAACTGTCTTCCTCTCAGAGGTTCACATATAGTACAAGTAATATAGGGAATTAAGTAAATGAACTAGTTCTCCATCCTGCATTTCTCAACCATTTCTAAAATATCTTTAGGTAAAGAGTAAACATATTCTTCAGTAACTGGAAGTCATAAGTAAGACTTCTGGATATACAACCAAATAATGTATTATTATATAGAACCATTACCTGAAGAAGTTAATTATTTTAAATGTAAGTATATAACTAATATTTGCTATATTTTTTTCTTGAGTGCGCAAAAGAAACCAGACTAGAAAGTAGTTGGGATTTTAGCAACAAAATTAAAACTGAGGTTTCCTGCTGCCTTAGATTTTAACCAAGAGAAAATTTATGAATATTTTGAGGGTTGAGGTCAGTTAGCTTTTAAGAACCTTTATTGCTTTTACCAATTTGTACAGATTTAGAAACAGAATTAATCCATAAAAGGTGATTTTATTTACTAAAAAAAATAACCATATATATCTTTTGATTTTAAAGGTCAATTCAGATAGGTTAGAGATTACCAATATTGAACAGAGGAATATTCCAATTGCTAGCTTAAGAGATGATACTAATATTCTAGCTTGTGCTTTCCTCATATTCCTACGTTGTTAATGTATAATTAATTTAATGTTAGCCAATCTAGTCAGCATTAGGTCACTGATTATGTGCCATATTATTTGTTTGGTAAAATATGTTTTGAAAAAAATTTAATATGAGTGTTGAATTAGGACTGGAAAGGGAGCTACTACTAGAATTATAGGAACATTACCACTGTTATATGAATTAAAGGAGAAATTGTAGAGGCAATTGCATCTGAATTTCAAGTCTTATTAGTTATCACTGGGGCTATCAGTAATGGTAAAAAAAAAATCTATATTATTGAATGCAAGTTGTGTTTAAAGCACTGTGCTAGACACAGTAAAGATGTCAAAATGAATAAACCTTACTTTCATTGAGTTTATAGAGAGTAATTTTTTTTAAAGTATCATAATAGAAGTATAAACAATGTACTTGAAAGTACCAGAGAGAATCAGTATTTTAGGGAAGGTAATGTTTCTACTGAGCCTTGAAGGATAGATAGAATTCTTCAGAGAGTGGAAAGAGTATTTCTAATTTATGGAAGTGAAAGTAAGTAATATGATCTAGAAATTGTGAACAATCCATTGTGCCTAGAGAATAGTGGGGTACAGGATGATATGATGGGAGATGGAGCTATGCTATACATGCTTTCCAAAGTCAAGTGAAGGAGTTTGATTTAATTCAGTAGATAATGGAATCCATTCAAGATATTTTAGCCCTGGTATATTTAAATCAATGACTCTTTTGAAAAACTGAGTGTGGCAGAGCAAGGGTTGCTTGATAAAGTTAAAGATTAGGCAGTAGTAATACCTAATAAAGGGCAACATTTATTATTATATGTCAGGGGTTGTGTATGAAGAGTTTTATGTGCAATTTCTCATTTAATCTTACTTCAGGAATATTGTGAGGAATAGTATGTGTTAACCATTTAGCACAGGACTAGTAATTATAAGCTCAGAACATTGTTCTTGTCCACATTTATATGTGATAAATCCTATGAGATTGTTGTGTTTATTGGGAGACTCTTAAGATAGTAACAATAAGCTTATTTTTCTACTACCTCTTACCTCTTTCTTTTAAACATTTAAACTAAGGGTGGAGGATCTTTTTCTGCCAAGGGCCATTTGGATATTTATAACATCATTCGTGGGCTATATAAAATTATCTACTTAAAAATTAGCCGTTTATATTTGGTCAAACATTTAATTAACTCACCTCTAATGCCTTGGCAGGGCCAGACCAAATGATTTTGCGAAACTGGATGTTTCCCACCCCTGTTACTTAGTTTGAGGACTGCATATTAGTTCATGTCGAGTTAACCTTAGGGTAAAAAAAGAGAGAGATAGACCAGGCCTTTTTTATTTTTTTTAACCAGTGGATTGATTATAAGGTACAAGACTAAACATAGAGGTAGTTTTGAATAAATTAAATTTATTTAATTAAAACATAACTGTAGATCTCATCTGTCAAGCATCCCGAAAATTGGTAATTGTTGCAGCTGTTAACAGCTATCTCAGTAACAGTTTCAACATAGATAACATAGTCCTTTAAGTATTTAAAATTACATGTAGTTGGCTAAGTACAGGTACTTTCAAATAACTCATTCCATTATTACTCTCCTACCCATGTATCAGAATACAAGCTACGTTATGTGAAAATATATAGGAAATAATTTTATAAGGAAAATATTCTGCTCTAATTATCTCAATTGTTTATGACTAATTATACAAATAATACATGCATATATATTCTTATAAAGAATGAAAACATAGCAAAGATGACTAAACCTCCTTGGACCATCTTCTATCATGAGTCCTTTACCCAGCTCTCTCTTCCAAATAATTAGTGATATCCTTTCAGAACCTTTCCTATACATACATATAAAATATCTGTTTAAAATTTCTCTTTTTTGTATCTTTTTTTAAAAAAGCACAAATCTATAATACATGGGTTTTGCATCTTTTTTTCATTTGGTAATGTCTTACAAGTCTTTCCATATAATTATCTGGATATCTTACTCCACTTTTTAAAAACGGTTGCATGGTATTCCTTAGTATTGCTATACAATGATTTACTTATTCATTCCTCATTGAACATTCAGGTTGTTAATACACACTGAGATGGTCATCCTTGTATGCTCCTCTTTGAATACCTGTGTTTGTCTAGATTAGATGGTTTAATTTATATAGATAGAGAGGTAGAACTCTGGTACTTTATTACTAGCAACTAATTTCATTCAACTCATCTCACAACTAATTGTAGTAACAGTGGGTAGTGACACCACAGTTGATCTGCTACTGACTCCGTTGAAACTAAATATATCTGTTAATATGTCTTTCCGTGATTCTCTTCAGTTTAAAAAACTATGGTATAACAATTGTCTTCTCTGCTCTATATGTGGGGAGGATAAAATGACATAACAGATGTGCTGTGAGAAGTCCAGTATAAATCTGAAATCTAGATTATAATCTTCTCAAAAGCATGGACTATTTTATTCATTTTTGCATAATAAGAGCACATTGCATAGCATATAGTAGGCAGTGTTTGTGGAATGGATCCCAGAAATGGTGAACTAAAAAGTGGGTCATATCTATGAGAAAGTTCCAGACTAGTAGAATTTTCTTATATGTATATTTTACATTATCTGAAAACTGTATATTTTCACTGAAAATTTCTCACCTTTTCATCTTCATCTCACTTCTCAGCTGCATTACAGCCATAATTCCTCAAATTTATCATGTTCTATCATGGCTTTCCCCCCAATACAGTCACCAGTTATATCCTGCAAGACTTTTATTATTTACTAGAGGCCCGGTGCATGAAATTTTTGTGGGGGGTGGGGGGCAGGGACTGCCCAGCCTGCACCCTCTCTAATCTGGAACCCCTCAGGGGCAGTCGGACATCCCTCTCATAATCCAGGACCACTGGCTCACCTGCTTGCCTGATCGCCCCTAACTGCCTCCCCTCCACCCCGCTGGCTTGGTCACCTCTTACTGCCTCCCCCCCTGCCAGCCTGGTCACCCCCAACTGCCCCTACTGCCGGCCTGGTCGCCCCATGCAGCCTGCTGCTCAGTCATTTGGTCGGCCCTCACTAACCCCCCTGCTGGGAGAGAGAGAGAAACATCAATGATGAGAGAGAATCATCGATCGGCTGCCTCCTGCACACCCCCTATTGGGGATTGAGCCCGCAACCCGAGCATGTGCCCTTAACCAGAATCGAACCTAGGACCCTTCAGTCTGTAGGCTGACGCTCTAGCCCAGCCGTGGGCAAACTACGGCCCGCGGGCCAGATCCAGCCCGTTTGAAATGAATAAAACTAAAAAAAAAAAAAGACCGTACCCTTTTATGTAATGATGTTTACTTTGAATTTATATTAGTTCACACAAACACTCCATCCATGCTTTTGTTCCGGCCCTCCGGTCCAGTTTAAGAACCCATTATGGCCCTCGAGTCAAAAAGTTTGCCCACCCCTGCTAGCCACTGAACCAAACTGGCTAGGGCAGTAACTCTGTTTTTATCTTAAAGCCCTAATGTATTGGAAAATAATGAGAGGTGATTTGGAAAATACACAAAAAGGTCGTTATATAATATGTTTTGATGAATTATAACCATTCTGTCTTAGATTTATTGCACTTTTTTTGATCCTTAGAAAATGGTAGCACTCACCACAAAACCACAGTACATAAATTGCCAAGTGTGGCTGAATTGCACATTCCTTTTAGAAGAACGTATTACTGGTAAGCCTTTTAGCCATAATAAATGGTCAACATTCATAGACTTGAGGCAGTGTATTAAAAGAGAAAATTGGGAGGCTTTATTTTTAAGAAGAGGTAGTGTACATCATTATGTTACTTCATCTATTAATGTTTATTATTTTTCTTTAGAAAGTAAATTAGTATAGGATTATAAAGTTGAGAAATCTATAGTTTGGTAACATGATTCATTTCTCCCTTTTAGTTTATAAAGAACTCTAAACATAATAGTTAACCTAAATTAAGTAGCATTCATATGATTGATTTAGTATGTTGCTGTTATTTTATTTTTGCAAATAACTGGTTAACTATGTAAAATTATTAAATATGACATCTGTTTTATGCTAAAGACAGATTATAATTATCTTGTTTTTAATCTTGAATGGTTGTTAGTATTTGAATTTTAGATTTTTTTTACATAGCTATAATTCTTATACTTGAACTTGTAGAAAAATAGCTTGATATTATAGGTTTGCAGGGGAGGGGATTTTGCTTTGCTCTCGTAAATTTGTAACATCATGTTCTAAGAAATATAATTCTACTAATTTGCTGTTAAAAATAATTTTGAAATTTTTCATGTTTAATGACATTTGTAAATTCTTTTAAAGTTAAAAAATGTGAAGTGCACACTCATCATACGAGGAATACAACTGTCCATGGCTTGTAGGCAATTTGAATCTTAATTCTTATATACTATAACACCTCATTGACCCCCTCGTCGTCAGGGAATGAGGCATTCTCTGAACGTGCTATGTAATTTAAGCTTATCTCTTAAAGTACTGAATCACAAAAATAGACAAGAAGACTGGTTGTATTGCTTACTTTCCCTCTGAAATAAACAATACATTTCATACTTGAAATTTTATGATTCAAACCATCATCTTGAGTGAGAATTATATTGTGTGGTTGTAATTTATATGTGATAGGTAATAAAACATTAAAAGGGGGGAAAATGTGAAGTGCATCAGTTATTACCTAACTGACACTTGATGACATATGTACATAATACATCAATAATGTAAAAGGTGCTTAAAATTGTATACATAACTAGGCAGGTAATGGAATTATTTTTCTGGCTAAATCCTAAAATATTCCTTCAGGCTAAAAGGTTTCAAAATTTGCTTTAACTTTTATTTAAAAAATTATAGCATCATCCTGCTATTTTTATTGCATATCATAGTTATTCTTTAAAGAATAACTCAACTGCAGTGTGATAATGTCAGGCAATCCACAGAAAAGATACATTATAATTAGTGATAAGAAACTGCTAACATCATATTGACAACCAAAGATAAGTTGAAACATTCTGCCTTCACATTAGACATCCTGGGGAAGTTAGTGTTAATAGTTGTTGGGGTCAGAGGAGCTTTGCAGTCGTTCTGTTAACATTTGACATAGGTATTTATTTCTAAAAATCACCATGCTTTGCAGATTGTACCAAAAACAAACAAACAGGGTTTATGGGAAAAAATAGAATTTGGGGTACAACACTCAAAAACTTCATTAAGTGAACGTTAAAAAAAGATAGGAACCTTTAAAAAGCATGTATAAATGTTAAGCGGTTAAGAAATATATAAATATTTAAACAGCATTTATACAAATAAATTGTTCTTTGCTTTGAAAAAGCCTGAAGTTTGCTTATGGAAGTGAACTTAAGTGTGGCAGCTTATTATTGTGAAGTGGTCAAAGGAGGGTTTTCTGAAATCAGAAGGAAAGTTGTAACACAAGATGTGGATGGATGTGACCAACTGACTGCATACAGATGCAGTGAGTGAGGGAGCTAGCAGATGTTTGAGGTGTGTTCATATTTACATTTTGTGTATTCCTTAACTTGTTTCAGGTGAATATGATTTTCTGTATTCATCTGGTATTTCTCACAGACAGAATCACAGTAAAATTTACTTAATGCTCAAATTGTTCCCTAATATATCAATTATATTGGAACAAATATGCAGTTTCAAGGCAAGGTATTATAGCAGCACTGACTTATAGCTGAGGGTAAGGAAATCACTTTAGTTTGGAGAGACTACTACTTTTTATAGTAGTCTTTAAAATAGGTATGTATTCTGATACATAGAGATTCCTTGCAACAAATATTTACTAAGCATCTTCTAGTTGCCATACACTTTCTAAATATTTAGGATACAGCAGTGAATAAGTTACTTCCTCCACTTTGAAACTGATCCTGCATAATAAAGAGCTAATATGCTAATTAGACTGAACAGCAGTACAACTATCTGGACAATCTCCCGAACAAAGCCGGGGCTATGAGGGCCAGCCGAGACAGCCGGGGCTGCAAGGGCCGACCGAGGCTGAGCGGGCCAGCTGGGGCTGTGAGGGGCTGCGAGGGCCGAGCCCCTTGCACAGATTTTGTGCATCAGGCCTCTAGTGTTACTATAAAGAATTTGTTGCCAGGAGTTGGTTTTTAAGAGGTAAAATTGGACAGATATGTGAAAGAGGAAGTCTGGCAAGGAGTCTACTGAGCAACAAGGCTTTTCTCTAACCTCTCAAATTACATACTTTTACAAGATTTCCTAGATCCTGTGTAACTCGAGATTCCAATATTCACAGAAAAAAAAAAATATCTCCAGAGCTTACATCCCAAGTGCCCATCAGTAGATGAGCAGATTTAAAAAAAACAAAAAAAAACCAGTGGCCGAAACCGGTTTGGCTCAGTGGATAGAGCGTCGGCCTGCGGACTGAAAGGTCCCGGTTCGATTCCGGTCAAGGGCATGTACCAGGGTTGCGGGCACATCCCCAGTGGGAGATGTGCAGGAGGCAGCTGATCGATGTTTCTCTCTCATCGATATTTCTAACTCTCTATCTCTCTCCCTTCCTCTCTGTAAAAAATCAATAAAATATATTTAAAAAAAAAAAAAAAAAAAAACAGTGGTACATTCATACCCTGGAATACTATGCAGCAGTAAAAAAGAAGGATCTCTTACCCTTTGAGACAGCATGGAGGAAAAGTATGCTAAGCGAAATAAGCCAGTCAGAGAAAGACAAGTATCACACGATCTTACTCATATGTGGAAACTAAAGAACAAAATACTTCCTAAATATCTTTTAAGTTTTTCTTTCTACTCAGTCTCCATTGGTTTCTCTGCAATTACAAGTTGTTACATTTCCTGGTTAGACTACAGCAATTTTCTAACTGGTCTTCTCACATATTCTTTTGCCCTTTTCTCTGTTATAGCCAGCCGTTCTCCAAATATACGTAATTTTTCAATCATGTCACCTTCCCTACTTCTGAGCTTAAATCCTTCAAGTGGCTTCCCATTACTCTGAAAGTAAAACCTCCAAATTTTAATGACCTATAAAGCACTTCATGATTTGGGCCCTACCTTTTTCTTGCTCTGTTCTCTACAATTTTCCATAATGTACCATACCACCTTTTAATTTCTGTTTTTGAATGATGTGAAAAAGATGAAAAAATTGATAGCAAGATAAACTGAGATGGCCGGCATCAGATCTGGTAGCAGAAGGAGGCAGACAAAAGATAAAATAGTGGGCGAGTTAAAATTGTTACCTAAATGTGAATGTGTATTTAACCCGTGGGTTTCTGTGGCCTGGAGAGCAAGGGCATTATGAATGACACACAGTAAAGACTGAATTCTATTGTGTTCCTCCAATTAGTATTGATATTTGGTTGGTTGTTTTGTTTGCTTGCTTGTCTGTTTTAGTTAACTTGGCTGAACTCAACTATACACTGAAATCTCAGTTTTGTTATTTTAGCCTTAGCCTGGCTGCTTGGAATCACTCACATATGTGTAATGTGGGGATCAGAGATGTGTGTAGATAGAATATGTAGAATTTGGTGCTTCTGTTCTTTCTGTGATTTACTCACTAGTTTTCAGCTGTTGTGGTTATGTCAAAGTCTGTCCTTTGTTTCAGTAAGCGAGTAAGGTTGCAGGTTTTCTGTCTAGGTTTTATCTACCCGAACCAACTGGGGCCAGCTATTTTTAAAAATGGAAAGTCACCCCATGCTGTACTCTCTCCTAAGTACTGACTCTCTTCTCCCCATCCCTAGCACCACCACCACCACCACCACCACCACCCCATTGCTGTTTCTGCTTTCTGCCTTCAAGTAGTTGCTTTTTATACTTTGTCTATTGTTTATAGTTGTTCTTGGTGAGAGAGTTGGTCTAGTAGGAGCTACTTAGCCATTGCAGAAAGTGAAACCCCCAAATAAATTTGAACAGTTTCTTCATTTGTATACTTGATAGTCTTTATGAGAAAAAGAAAAGCAAGTGTGATAGTTTTTTAAAGAATTTTAGAGCTTTCTGTATATGTTTTAATAATGAAATAAGTTGAAATTTATTTTCATGATTTATCCTCTTTTAAATAATAAAATGTTCCTGAATTAGACTGAAAATGTATTTGCTTCGTCCTCTGGATAAGCTTCTCCCTCTAGATATTTGCTTCTGGGAACAGCAAATATCTAGATCATTAGAAATGTCGTGAAACAAAGGAATTTGAAGAAATCAAACAGTAAAACCTTCATTTCATCAAAATGTTGCTTCTTTGACCTAGATCCTGGGGAGACAGCAATAAGCTTCAAAGTTCTTAATCCTGTGCAACTAACATTTTGGAGATATCTAGATAGATAATAAGTATATGTCATGTATCGATAAATGCTATGAAGAAAAAGAGTATAAGAATGTGATGGGTTGGTAGACAAGTGTGGCATTATTTTAGATAGATTGGTCAGGGAAGCTGTTTCTGAGGAAGTGACATTTGGTTAGAGATCTTCATGAGGTAAGAGAAGGACCCATGTAAGCAATCCGAGGGGAAAATATCCCAGACACAAGGAACAGCCAGTCCAAAAGCCTAAGGGAGAGATGAGATTGGCTTCTTTGAGAAGTCAAAGAACCAAAGGCTCAGTTCAGAACTGAGGGAACACGGAGAATGGTAGGAGATGAAGTTTGAGGGCTGGTAGTTAGCCAGGAGCTGTGTGTTGTAGGATTTTGAGCAGGGAGAATGATTGACTTAATTTTTACAAAGATCACACCCCTCAGTAGAGTGGGGGATGCATGTAGAACAAAGAGTGAAGCAGGGAAGATACCAGTTAGGAGACCTTTGCTTTCAATCTAGGTCAGTGGTTCTCAACCTTCCTAGTGCCATGACCCTTTAATACTGTTCCTCATATTGTGGTGACCCCCAATTTCATTGTTACAAATTGAACATAATTAAAGCATAGTGATTAATCACAAAACAATATGTAATTATATATGTGTTTTCCGATGGTCTTAGGTGACCCCTGTGAAAGGGTTGTTCGACCCCAAAAGGGGTCGCATCCCACAGGTTGAGAACCGCTGATCTAGGTGAATTATGATGGCTTGGACAGAAGCAGTAACAGAGATGGGGAAATTCAGATTCAGAATTTTTTTTTTTTTTTTTGCAGATATTTCTAACATGATTTGATGATGGATTAGATATGGGATGTTAGAGGAGGAGCAACTGTATGAATGATGGTACTATTTGCTTAGATGAAAAAGACTGGGAAAGGATTGGTTTGGATGGGGGGATATTAAGAATTTGATTTTGGACACAGAATTTTGGATATACAGAAGGAGATATGTCAGGCAGGCAGCAGGCCATATTAGTCTGGGACTCCAGGGTGAGAGCTCCCTTGCAGTTGGAGATTCAAATTTGCAAAGCCTCTGTTTAAAGCAGTGTGTTTGGATGAGATTACCTTGAAGAGGAGTGTAGGTATAGTTGAAAAGAAACCCTAGACCTGAATTCCCTAGCCCACCAACATTTAGATGTCAAGAAAAGAAAGAGAATCTGAAAAAACTGAGAAGGAGCTACCATTGGGTAGGATGAAAACCAGAAGAGTATAAATCTTGAAAGTCAAGTAAAGAAATTGTTTAAAGAATGAGGGAGTGACTGAGGAGAAGTCTGTAAGATGAAGACTGAGGACTGACCTTTAGTTTGAAAATCCAAAGGTCTGTGACAGCTTTGATAAGTATAGTTTCAGTGCGGGAAAGGCTATGAAACCCCGATTGGGATAGACTTATAAGAGATTAGGAGGAAGGAAATGAAGATGATTAAGTATAAACAACCCTTTCCAGGAGTTTTAGTCCAGAGGAGGGAAGGGGCAGAGTAAAGTCAGGGGTAGCTTTCTCAAGATGAGCAGCACCCCTTAAATTATTTTTAAATATCATTTCCTAACTTTCAGTGCTTTTCTCCTGCAGCCCTTTTGTAGAAACACTTTCAGTGCTGAAATTGTGTGTGTATGTGTCTTACATAGAAATAGATTTTGGAAATTTATATTGCAAATAACTTGGTTTGACAGTGCTTTCACCTAATATGTAACCAAGCTAGTCACATAGAATTAAGTAAAATTTAATCAGATGATAATAAAAATCTGAAGGGCTGTACTGTGCATGCTCTCTAAGTGACTTATTCTGTTGTGGACTCAGGAATTCTGTCATAACTAAATTTACTAAAAAATAGTTTAATATCAACTGTTAACGCTGAAAACTGTCTACAAAGTGCTAGATTTACAATAATGAATCGAAGAGACCTAATTTCTATATTCATGGAGTTTACAGACCTGTATTTTTTTAAGGTTATGTTAATGAGGTTAAAAGAAATGCTACAGATAAGAAATTTGTTTTAAAGAGACTGTCTTTCTGTTAAATTTATCCTAAAATGAAATGTATTTTAATTATTAAGCAAATGCCATGATTGTAAATATTTTAATATGCTATTTTAGTTTAATAAACTTATATACTATTTATATCCCAGAGAGGCTTAAATAAGAATCAACGTGGTTTACATTAGGAATAAAAATAAGGTAGACAGTTCTCAACTTTGGCCACACATTAGAATCACTTGAGGAACTTTAAAAAACTTACATGCACAGGCTCCTCCCCAACCAATTAAATCAGAATCTCTGGAGTTGAGGCCAAGCATTACTATTTTTTAAATACTGATTTAATGGAAACACAGAATAAAGTGCTTCTAAGCACCTGAGAATGAATTGATTACACTTGAGGATTAAGTCTATCTGAAAATTAACAGAAAATATCAAGTGTATTGGGTTATAGGTAATTTTTTAAGCAAAACATGCAAAGTTATTTGTAGGACCAAAGTTTTTCAGGTTCTTAATTTTATGTAGAATAAATGAGAATTACTCTCCTCAGGCCATCCTCTAATCATTAAGAAAAAAAATCAGCCCTAACTGGTTTGGCTCAGTGGATAGAGCATCGTAGGCCTGCAAACTAAAGGGTCCCAGGTTCGATTCCAGTCAAGGGCATGTACCTTGGTTGCAGGCACATCCCCAGTAGGGGGTGTGCAGGAGGCAACTGATCGATGTTTCTCTCTCATCATCAATGTTTCTAATTCTCTGTCCCTCTCTGTAAAAAATCAATAAAATATATATATTTTTAAAATAAGTAAAGGTAGTCACTTTCCCCTTTTGAAAGAATGAGGGAAGACTACCTGGACAATGATTTCTTTTTTAAATACCTGTGGGCACAGTAGCTTGCCATCAGGAGTTAAAAACTGAAAAAAATAGTATAACTTATGTGGAAAGCATTGTAAGACTCAATAATATTTTTATAATTTATATTAAATAAGTACTAGAGCACAATACCCTTTAGTATTGAAATTTTAAATCCACAACAATATTCATTCTATAATCAGTTCTCATTAAATTTTTTTTTTCTTTCTTTCACAGAAAATGCGTGGACAGAAGAGATGAGTACTATTTCCACTAAGGCCTAGAACTGCCTACTGTATAAGTAGTCCTGATCGGGCAATATACGAATGGCCCAAGGAAGCCACCAAATTGATTTTCAGGTTTTACATGACCTGCGACAAAAATTCCCTGAAGTACCTGAAGTTGTTGTATCCAGGTGCATGTTACAGGTCAGTGTTCAATGATTTCTGAATCTATTAATACAAACCTGGTATTTTGTTAAACATTGGAAGAAAACTCTAATCTTCTTGTTGGCATTAATGTGCTATGATGAAAAGAGATGAGCTTTGGTGTCTTATAGTTATGTGGCCTTTAACTAGTTATTTAGTCTCTGTCCCATCTGTAAAATGGACAATACCTACCTTGTAAAGTAGTTGTGAGGATGAAATGAGATCCCAGTAAGCATTGGTACATGGCTTATACTTACTATGAGCTTGCTTTACTCTTTCCCCTCCTATTTTACCAGGTCGAAATGTGAAAGTGAGAAAAATCATTAAATAGGAGTCGAAACTCACTCTTGGGTTCTAATCCTAAATAGATACCCCAAGCATATTTGGCAAGTACTATGCCTTCTTTGTACTTGAGTTTTGTTATCTATAAAAATGAAGGAATTGACTTGACAAACTCTAACAACCCAATTCTAAAGAAAAAAGTTTGTCTTTATATTTTTAAATTAATCTAAGTTTTCCAATTAATATCACTAAACAGCTAATAAATTGTTATATTTTATTAGTATGCACAATTTCAGAAATCCATACTTCTAAATATTTAGTGATATTGTGCCTTCTCATTTGATTAAACTGGAAATCTGTCAAAACGATTTTTCAGTTCAAATAGAGATAAAAGAGTAATTTAGATTTAAACATTTACTCTTGACAAATTATTTTTAAAGTTTGAATTTGTATGAAAATTTTAAAGACTCTGTATTTGTATTTGATATTAAGTGACTTCATTTTGTTCACACCCTTATTACCTTCTTTTTTAATATTTTTAGTGATTTCAGAGAAGAAGGGGGGGAGAGGAGGGAGAGAGAGAAATATCAATGATGAGAGAGAATCATTGATCAGCTGCCTCCTGCACCCCCCACATTGGGGATTGAACCAGAAACCCAGGCATGTGCCCTGACCGGGAATTTGACTATGACCTCCTGGTTCATAGCTCGATGCTCAACCACTGAGCCACAACCAGCCGGGCCACCCTTATTACCTTTTATTCGTACATGTAATTGGTGTGTGCCTGCCTTTACTCTAACCTTGTTTGGTATCTCCCATCCATCCTCCTCAACTTTTGCCAAAGTGTCTTTCTAAATGCTGATTTTAGCACATGATTTACCTGCTTAAACCTTGTTATTGTTCCTCGTATCTTCAGAATAAAGTTCACATCTTGACTGGGGAATAACTAGGTCTGTGATCTGGAATTTGCCTTCTTCTGCAGCCTGATCTCTAGCCCAGTCTTTCCTCCTCACACCCTATGCTGTAGTCATCCTCTGTTGGAATTATCTGAATATGCCTAGCTCTTTAAATAATATAGTGTTGAAAATGTTTTAATACTATAATGCCCAAAGAGTAGATCTTGCATGTTCTCACCACACACAAAAAAAAAGTTGACTCTCTGAAGTGATGGATGTGTTAATTAAATTGATTGTGGTACTTTCACAATATGTAAATACATGAAATCATTGCATAGTATATCTTTAAAAAATCATATTGTACAACCTGAATATGTACAATTTTTATTTGTTAATCATACGTCAGCAAAGCTGTAAGGAAATAAGTAAAAATAAATTTTAAAAACAATAAATAGCATATGTTTTGGTGATAAACAGGTTTGAGTTCAAGTTTTTGACAGTTACTAGGAGTATTTAACTTCTCTGATCCTCATTTTTCTCAACTGTACAATGGGAATAAAAAAACTTCACAGAGTATTAAATATGATACTACAGGTAAAGCAATTAGTAGGGGTCGTATTAAGAATGGAGTCAGAGATTAAAGCAAGTATAAGGAGGAGCAGAAATAGTGGGGGAAGGTGTCTCCCCTAGAACCCAGGTACCTCTTCCTAATTTTTCAAATATAATTTTGTGATAAAATAAGACGATGCTGAGAATGTTCCATGAGTCACAGAAAAATACTATAGGATCTGCAGTAAAATTTTATAAGAGTTAATATTGAAAAAACTGTTTAGAACAGTTTCCCAATAGCACAGCTATAGAGATTTTGAAGTACCTTAACTGGGACTAAAGCATAGAACCTTTTGTAATATTATTTAAAATATTTTCTGTTTTTATGTTTTTAATTTTCAATTATAGTTGACATTCTATTTAAAATATTTTCAAAAAATAAAGAACTGTATTACTCTTACAGTATAATCTTCAGGAGGGTGTATTAAGCTAAGAAAACAGATCAGTATATATAGATGAGAGCAGGGGGAATAAATATATACATGTTTATATATTTGCCCATGTTTGCATGAAGAAATGCTGGTAGGGTTAAAAACACAATTAATAAAAAAACTGTTACCGATAGTGGGCAAGAGGAAACGAGTCAGATATCACCTTCACTGTGTTAATCTGATTTTACAAATCAAACCTTCCTACAACATGAACTCTGTTTTGCTTGCCAGATACCCATGAGGCAGACGATATACTCTTTCATATTCAGTTATAAATCATTCTGGGCATCCCAGTAATGTGCTGTTTAGCTGATGGGACAAGAAATTTAATAAGAAAGGAACAGGGAGGGCAACTCGGGGGATACAACTAGAGTGTAAGTCTTCCCAAATTTGGAGAAATAATTTTAAATTGTAAAGGTAAATTAAGCGACATCTAAATGTAGTATAAATCTTATTTAGTGACAGCCTTTCTTTGGAAGCTGCTCTCCCTTTCTCAATTGTGTTGGTATCTGTCCTTTCTCTGGAGAGATCAGATCCCCTTTATAATGTACTGGTTTAGAACTTTTCTAGATGGAAAAAAAAAAAACATAATATACAAAATATAAGAAATAAGTAGTTACAGGATCATGCGCCACTGGCACTTTTCTTCTTAAACATCATGCTTCTTAGGAGAACATAAGGGTCTATCCTCTGTTCTCTTCTGAACTTTATTTACTGCTCAGATCCCTGTTTCTGGAACTACTCACATCACTTCCTTGTGCTCTGGAGTTTCTAAGATAGCTATATTATCAGTAGGCGTAGTTCATATCTTTAAAATTGATTGATGTTTGGTGATAAATCTTAGAATAGTATGAAAATATAGCATAGTTGGTACTTTGATTTTTTTAACTGAATTTTTCACTATTAATATGATTGAATCTGTAAGTTTAAAATTGCTATTTCTTTTCAGAGTAATGCATTAAGTAGTGTTCATTCTTTTTTTGTAAAACTTAGTATTTGAGTAGCATATCCTTAGTTGATGCCTTCTTAGATGACCTCCACCTGTAGTCTTTATCCATATTTCTGTTAAAACACCTACCATTCTGTATTATATTTGTGTACACATTAATCTCCTCCACTGGACTGTGAGATCTTGAAGAGTAGTGATTGTATCCCTTTCTACTTGCCTAATGGGTGCTCAGTAGATACTGGTTGAAAGAGTAAATGAATAAGAGTTTGAGAAGGATGATCATAATGTATACTTTGATTACTATCTATAATCTCCATATCTGTACACGAAGCTTGGGGAAGAATGAAAAAGGAACTGGAATTGTGATTCCGGTTCTTTCGTAGCTTTGAAAAGATTGCAGATTTGTATGTATACAAAAAAGTAATGATACTCAACCTTTAAAAAACTCATCCCACCTGTTCTGATACACTTAAAAGAAATCCTCTACAGTTTCCCAGTAAAAGTAGTAAGGGCTTACTTGAGAAATAGTTGATTCCAGGTCTCTAGGGTATAGAGTGTACAAGGTGAGCTGAACATTTTTTCATGTTGGAAAGCAAGGGAGCTTTGAAAACTACTGGGTTCATGTCAATGTACATGGGAAGCAATTTGAAGTTATTCCTGCTAGCCTGGAAATAGGGAATAATGAAAACAACCAGTTACACACATCAGAATGTTAAAGACACAGGAGTTTATAATGATACAAAAAAATCTTAGTCACCTTTGGAGGTTGCAGGGGTACCAATTCATTACTCTACAAACCAGTACAGAGAAATTATTTATTTATCCTGCCTCTTTTGTGCAAAAACTAACCATGCCTACATACTAACCATGCCTACATATTCTGCAGTAGCCTACAATTTTACTCTCTGTTGAATTTCAGTACCACTTATTATTTGGCAAATACTCAACATTTTAATGTTACCTTTTCAAAAGCCCATGCTTGGTTTGTCTCTCTAATCTGGTTGCAAACTCTTCTAGGGAAAAGTTGGGTTTTATAAGTCATTGAGTCTTCTACAATCTCAGACAAGGTTCTGTGCGTATTGTGGGTGTTTAATAAATATGTTTATGGATAATTTGTGAATAGTGATTAGTCTCTTCTGAGGATTCTTTAGAAAAAAATCTGGTTGGTTTTTGTTTTGCTTTGTTTCTTATTTTTCTGGAGTGATCTTCCTATGGTGCTACCTAAAGACAGATAATAAACTCAGTTACTCTGGAGGCAATCTGGAGCTGACATTTCACTTATATATGTGTTTTGGGGTTGTTTTTTATTTATTTAAGTACTACAAATTTTTTGAAAGGTGATTTTAAAAGGATTTCTGTAGCACTTAAAGATGTAAAATATTTAATCATACAGTAGTATATGCTTAATGATCAGCACTCAAATTGTATTTTTAATTAGGTTGTAGTTTTATTTTATTTGCATGAGTTCATTTTACTATAAAATAAAGACTTGGTTCACTTAGCTATTGCTAATTAGAGAACGTTTCCATTATATTGGTAATAAGGATTTTTAATTCAACTCTTTGCATCAAAATATTTCTTCTCAAATTAGTTTCAAATATATCTTACAATTTTATTAACTAACATTTGTTGATTACGTAATATTTTAGTAATGAGCATAAACATTAGCTTATGGTTCTTAACATCAAGCTGTTTTTATTTTATTTTATAGAATAATAATAACCTGGATGCCTGCTGTGCAGTTCTCTCTCAGGAGAGTACACGGTATCTTTACGGTGAAGGAGAGTTGAATTTTTCAGATGATTCTGGAATTTCTGGTCTACGCAATCACATGACTTCTCTCAACTTGGACTTGCAGTCACAGAATGTTTACCACCATGGAAGAGAAGGAAATAGAATGAATGGAAGTAGGACTCTAACGCACAGCATTAGTGATGGACAACTTCAAGGTGGTCAGTCCAATAATGAACTATTTCAGCAGGAGCCACAGACAGCACCAGCTCACGTTCCTCAAGGCTTTAACGTTTTTGGAATATCCAGTACATCTGGTGCTTCAAATTCAGCACCACATCTTGGATTTCACTTAGGCAGCAAAGGAACATCTAACTTTTCTCAACCAACTACCAGATTTAATCCCATCATGGTAACTTTAGCCCCAAATATCCAGACTGGTCGTAATACTCCTACATCTTTGCACATACATGGTGTACCTCCACCTGTACTTAACAGTCCACAGGGAAATTCTATCTATATTAGGCCTTACATTACAACTCCTAGTGGTACAACTCGACAGACACAGCATTCTGGCTGGGTATCTCAGTTTAATCCCATGAACTCGCAACAAGTCTATCAACCTTCACAACCTGGTCCCTGGACTACTTATCCTGCTTCTAATCCTTTGTCACATACCTCAGCCCAGCAGCCAAATCAGCAAGGCCACCAGACCTCTCATGTCTACATGCCCATCAGTTCACCTACCACCCCACAACCACCAACAATTCATTCATCTGGTAGCTCACAGTCTTCTGCCCATAGCCAATATAACATTCAGAATATTTCAACAGGACCTCGAAAAAACCAGATTGAAATCAAACTTGAACCTCCACAAAGAAACAGCTCTTCAAAATTGCGTTCTTCTGGACCTCGAACTTCCAGCAGTTCCTCTTCTGTCAACAGTCAGACCTTAAATAGAAATCAGCCCACTGTTTACATAGCTGCCAGTCCCCCAAATACTGATGAGGTGATGTCCCGTAGTCAACCGAAGGTCTATATTTCAGCCAATGCCACCACAGGAGATGACCAGGTCATCCGGAATCAGCCTACCCTCTTCATATCCACAAACTCTGGAGCATCTGCTGCCTCCAGGAATATGTCTGGGCAAGTGAGCATGGGTCCTGCCTTTATTCATCACCACCCTCCCAAAAGTCGAGCAATAGGCAATAACTCTGCAACTTCTCCTCGAGTGGTGGTCACTCAGCCCAATACAAAATATACTTTCAAAATTACAGTTTCTCCCAATAAACCCCCTGCAGTTTCACCAGGGGTTGTATCCCCTACCTTTGAACTTACAAATCTTCTAAATCATCCAGATCATTATGTAGAAACAGAGAATATACAACACCTCACGGACCCTACTTTAGCACATGTGGATAGAATAAGTGAAGCACGGAAGTTGAGTATGGGATCTGATGATGCTGCCTACACACAAGGTAATAATAATAATAATAATAATAATAATACTGAAGGGGGATCATTTTCCATTCCAGGCTTAGTGCTGTACATTTGATTTCACTGCAGAAATGAGCATCAGCATTTTTACTTGATCTTTTAAGAGCCTTTGCGAGTATTCATATAAATTTTAAATTTCAGTTTTGTTATTGTATATAACTTGAAGTTTGAATGATCGAGTTGTAAAATGTTTAGAATAATCAACTCTTATTTATTTTCTTAATGTTTATAACACATTTTCAGTTACTGTTTTACCTATGGTGATGCTTACTTTCCCTTTAAAATTACTGCAAATAAAAGTTCATAAAAACATTTTAATAAGAGTTAGTGGACTAATATAGTAAGTCTGTCTTCTTTGATGAGAATTCTCTTCATTTCTCTAATACATGTTCTTCATCTTATTTTATATCAAAGTCTATATTGCTATGAGTCCTAGAATAATTTAAAGAAAAATTTGAATTCTGTTCTTAATATTTGTCTCTTTCAGCCTCACTTTAAAAAAAAAGTTAATGCAACCTTTCCTGTTATTTGGAATTGTCAATGAGAATGTTAGTTTTAAATCTGTCTCACTTTAGTATCCTTTTCTGAAATAGATTAGTTGATATTGGCATAGTAATAAATTAAATATATATATTAATTTATGTTTCATAAGAAATACATTGTTTGATATGCCCTCTGATATAGAATGAGCAGAAGAAAAAGAGGTAAATTAATGAAACTTTTACCAGGAACCTGCTCATCTCATCACCAAGTCTGCCTCCATTACCACCACCAGCTCAAAGGAATAAAATTACTTTTGAGTCCTTAAAGTACTGCAGGAATCAGAGACAAAAATGAGTGCCGAGTAGGGAAAAAAAAAAAAATTTAGAGAGAAATTTCAGCTTAAAATCTATAGATATGAAGAAGAGTCTTATTTTACCTATTAAGAACAAATATTGAAATGCAAACTGCTTACCAGTAATAAGAATACTGGCCAGATACCTATCTACACTTTTCTCTTTCACTCATACCACCTGTCTCTAAATTTCTGGAAAGTACCAATAAATACTTTATCATTCATTGTATTCGGAGACTTTCCGGTGTTTTCTCCCATTCATAGAATATGCTTTTTGTAATATTGGCAACTCATTCAAACCAGTTTTCTTGGAGGGGGTGGAAAGGCCTGCTTCCTGTGTTTCATTATAATAGCCAGAGGCTCTTATAAAACTGACGTTGCTGCCAAAACTGTTTTCTTATTCTCTAATACCTGTACAGAAATCCATCTGTGGTATTGATCTAACGGTAAACTACAATGTGTTTTTTTTTTAATTACTTACTAGTATATAAATATATAAACATTTTTAATGATATTTTAATACTTTCTTTTTCATTTCACTTTTGATCTATGTGTCTATTCTTATGTCCATGCTGGTACTACACTGTCTTGATTATTGTTACTTACTTTGTAAGTTTTGAAATTGGGATGTGTAAGTCGTGCTTTGTTCCTTTTCAAAATTATTTTGGCTGTTTGGGATCTCTGACTATTCCATATAAATTTTAGAATTAATCAATTTTAATTTTATTACACGCAAATATTTTTTCTACATATACTTGTGGGCTTTTTTTATTTTTAATTAAGTATATGTAGAAACAAAAGGTTCTATAATGAAAAGTTACCCTCACCAGAGACAACTAATAGCTATTCACAAATAGTTGATTTTCTATTCTGCTGGAAATTGAAATTATGTATCAAGCATATGTATATTAACATCTCTTTTAAAAAATGGAACATAGTATTTTGCTCTTTTTCTTTATCTTTTTTTTTTCTTTGACTATTCCAGGTCAACAAGTGTAGATCTGTTTTCTTTAAAAATGGCCACAATAGTATTTTGTATATAATCTCTAACCAGTCCTTTCTTGATAGACCTTAAAATCTTGCTTTTACAAACTGCTGCAGTAAAAATTACATATATACATATTTGTGTTCTTGTCCAAGTATGTTGGCTGAAGATATTACTCATAATGGAACTGCTATGTCACAGGATATATGTATTTTTTATTTTGATAGATGTATCATTTAGGCTTGGTTATGCTGCATTGACAAACTGTGTCTTCAAAACAACAAAGGTTTATTTCTAGCTCACTTGCCATTATAGATTAGCTGGTGGGCTCTGTTCTTTATCATCCTCACTCAGGGACCCAGTATGAGGGAAACTCAGTCCCTAGGTTTCCAAGACAAAGGAAATACAGCAAATCTACACTGACTCCTTAAGCTTCTGCCCAAACACATGTTACTCTTTAGCTAAGACACGTCACATAGGCACATTAATTCAGACAGAATGGAGCGGTTCAATTCTATATACAGTAGTGCCCTCTTTTCCGTGGAGAATATGTTCTAAAACCCCCAGTGAATGCCTGAAACTGCAGGTATTACCAAACCATATATATGTTTCACTTACACATACATATCTGTAATAAAGTTAAACTTGTAAGTTAGGCAGATTAAGTGATTAACAACATTCACAATAAAACTAGAGGTCCAATGCACAAAATTCATGCAAGGGGTTTGGCCCTCGCAGCCACGGCTACGTCCGGGAGGTCGTTTGGCTGTCCGATCTAATTAGCATATTATGCTTTTATTATTATAGATGAGAAATGTTAGCAACATACTGTAATGAAAATTATATGAATGTGGTCTTGGTCTCTCTCCCTCTCTCAATATCTTATTTACTGTACTCACCTTTTCAATTATGGCTTCTCTTTGGAACATATGAATGTATCTGAATGGCCAGCATCACCACTCCTGTGCTATGGGAATTAGTAAGTAAAATGAGGGTTATTTGAACACAGCACTGAGATGCTACAGTTTATCTGATAACCAAAAAGTGATTAACAAGGTTGGGAGTGGGGAGGTCATGGCATGGATGGCGCAAGATTTCATCATGCTACTCAGAACAGTGTGCAATTTAAAACTTATGAATTGTTCACTTCTGGAATTTGTGATTTAATATTTTCAGGCCATTGTTGACCAAGGATAACTGAAAGTGAAACTGCAGATTAGGGGGAATTACTATACCTAGAAGGCAGAGTCCCAAAAATATTTGGTGAAGGGCATGACTACCACAGAACATGTTGCCAATTTTAATTTTGAGACTCTCTAAAGAGATTCTTCTACTAGAGTATGAAGTGGTACAATACTTATTTCTCCCATATTTATAAATGGGGAACATTTGGCATCATTTTTAAGAAGGTACTTTTCTTTCATCCCTCTCCCACCCACATTATGTAAGTAATTAAAAAAAAAATACATTTTTATCATTCTGTAGGTAAAAATGTCCTGTTTTATTATTTTTCATTTACATCTTTAAATATGAGTAAGCCCTGGTTGGTGTGGGTCAGTTGGTTGGAGTATCATCCCATGCACCAAAGGGTCCAGAGTTCGATTCCCAGTGGACATATACCCAGGTTTCAGGTTTGATTCCTGGTTGGGGTGTGTGCAGGAGGTGGCCATTTGATGTTTCACTTCTCACATCGATGTTTTCCTCTCTCTCTCCCTCTCCTTTCCTCTCTCTAAAGTCTCAATACAAGCATGTTCTCCAGTGAAGATTACAAAAAATATATGTAAATATGATTAAGATTGAGCATCTTTTCAAGTATTAATTTTTTAAGCCATTTGTATTTCTTATTTTGTGAACTTGCCTTTTTTTTTTGTAGAATGCCTAGTCTATTTTTTCTAATGTTATTTTAACTTGGTCAATAAATTTGTTTTATCATTTTTTTTAACTTTTATATATTTATGCTTATCAACCTTTTTTTCTTCTGGTTTCTGGGTTTAGTTTTATGTCTTATTTACAGAGCTCTTCTCCATTCCAAGATTGTGGGGGGGAAAGAACAAAAATCTTATGTATATATTTTCTTTTAATTATAATACTTCTTTAAAACCTTCAACTGGCCTTTTTCTCTTCCATATGGCATCTCTTCAAAAACTTGAAATAGCCACTATATTCCCTTTTAAAGTATAAACCTTTCTAACTATAAACATCCCCAGTTCCTGTAGTGGTTCATCCAGTTCATCTTTGAGGCTCTGAGCTTTGGTGTGTCTAGACCCCATTTTTCTTTTTCTCTAAAACAAAAGTTTTGGACAGTGTATCTTAACGCTATCAGATTGCTTTCAGCTCTTAATGATATCCAAATGAATGCCAACAAAGTATTATCAATCAGAGGCCTTATGTTCACCTGTTACTAATAATGCTGTGCAAATAATTGAAACTTCTCAAAAATAATTATAGAGGTTAAACATCATTTCTCATAGTCTTCTTTCTATGTTTGTTGCCCAAATTATGGGCCTACTTGCAGAACTGTTACAAGATCTGATTTTTAAACTGACCTTAAAAATGGCAAAATAGATGAAACATCATGATGCTTTATTTTAGAATAATTGCCATCTCTACATTCTTTGCAACTCAGTCACCAAGTGACTGTAATTAGTGGCTTATAAAACAGATATTCCTGCTGTCAACAGTTACACTCTAGAATAATCTTTGTTTATTTTAGAAGCTGACATTGTACCTCTTTAGCTACAATGACTTAGACATGTACCTGACTTAAGCATATAGAACTTACCATGACTGGTAAAAACCTAAAAGAAGTAAGTACCTATTACATTTCCAATGGCAAATTAAAAAAAAAAAAAAAGGCCTAAGCCCTAACCAGTTTGCTCAGTGGATAGAGCATTGGCCTGTGGTTCGATTCTGCTCAGGGACACATGCCCAGGTTGTGGGTTCGATCCCCAGTAAGGGGCATGCAGGAGGCAGCTGATCCATGATTCTCTCTCATCATTGATGTTTCTCTCTCCCTTCTCCCTTCCTGAAATCAATAAAAATAAAAAAGGCCTAAGATCTTTGTATTTATAAATAGCTGGTACATTTTCCAATGGCAAAGGTATGTTGTTAATATACACATTTCGTTTTCTTTTTTTAGCTTCTGGAGTAATTAGACATTA